ATGAAACTGCCCTTCCTTTTCCTACTACAGATACTTCTACTACCTCTATCTCCAGCAGATGAAAAGATAATTTTAAATATTTTTACAAAAATACTTTGCTACCACGAGGCAGAGTTCTGAAAACTGGGAAGAGAGCAGCATAGAAGTAACAATGGTGAAAGCATGAAAAAGGATTAGGCAAAACCAACATATTAAGATTTGTTTAGAGCTAATACAAGGTGCATGCACACAAATGAGATAAAAAAATGCATTTTTCATAGGATGTTTAACTGAATGTGCCTCTGGGACATATCTCAGTCATTCCTCTTACACAGTCTGGGCTATGGAGTTTTACTGGGGATTTCAATTCAATCTCATTTCCCAGACTGTTACAGATATGATATGAAAAAAGCATTGCCTTACATAGTGCTGCCATTTAATCGATGAAGTATTATCTTTCTTTTAGCATTTGGCTACCATCCCAGGAAAAGCACATAGATATGGGAAACATTTGCAAAATAAAGGAGAAACCTTGGAGGAGTTGATTCAAATAAGCTAAACTGGATTATTTTCTGCGAGAATCTTAGAAACTCTGCCCACATAAATTCAGACAACTTTAATGCTTAGGATCTGGCTGGATGTTTTTACTTTAGGTACAAATAGTAGCATGTGCAAATAAATCCAGTGCAAGTTTTTTAATTAGCTATCTGGACAACAATGACAATGAAAACACAACCCCTCAGCACATTAGCAGATTGCATGTACACACAGCAATCAGTTAGTCAGAGTCCCTAGGTGCTCTGGTTCTCAGCTCACAATAAAACCCAGACTGCCAGATCCTTACTAAGTTGTTTCTCCTGTTGCAGTCATGCCTGATACTTCTTATCTGAGAATACTCTGGATCTCTTCAGTGTTGTTAATTTTACAGTTACTGCCTTTTGTAGGGTAATTAAAAATATCCAGGGTCTTGAACTATGTGCTCATAGATTTGCACTTATTTGCATTCCAAGACTGCATAGACATCCTCACCTGTAACATCAGCAATTCCAAAGAAAAATTCTAAACTTGTGTCTAAGATAAAAGATGAAGTAAGACCACTCAATTCACTATCATTGTTTTCTGTATTGTTGACAAAGAAGACAGAATGAAGTGTTCTGTATTTTCTGCAAATTAAGATTGGAAAGCAGAAAAATGTTTTCTTGTTCTTTCTGAGGTCATCTGTCCCATCACAAATTCCATTTAAACAGGCTATGAGAACCCTGGTGTAACAATCAGAAAGAAATGGAACCTACAATCATCCCCATTTCAATCAAACATTTTAATTCAAAAGTAGAAAACTGCAGTATATGAAGATATGGAAATTCTGCTCCTGCATATCAGATAACCAGCTCATAAGGGTGCTACATCTGCTATATGCAGGGGGAAAGGATGGGCCATAAATGCAGAGGGAACTGCCAGTGTACTAAGTAGCAAATTTCCATGAGTATCCACAGATTTCTATCAGTCTGCAAATGCAGACTTCCTCTGAGCACAGCTTCTGACATTCAGATCCAAAATAACGGTCAAGAGACCATTTACATTGATTTTCATCAGCAACAAGTGGCTTTAAATTACCACAGTGGCATTGGCATATGATGAAAACCTCAGAGTCAATCAGGAAGAAGCAGGAAATAATCAGTAATTTCCAGGAGTCTTAAAATAAAAAAAAGAGGATGAGTTTAGCAGGAAGGTCCATGGAACTTGACATGGTGAAGGATAATCATCTCCCCCCTTGGCTACCCCTCACAGTGGGAACAAGACTTTCAGAAAGGATTAGAATAAACAAAGCAGAAAAAGCACAAACACAGAAAACAAACAGCCAAAATCTACCTCAACACTTCAGTAGAAGTACGCTAATAAACAGTAAGAGAAACTAGTCACCCAATAAATGTCAGAAGTAACATTTTTAATTGGAAAAAAATATGACAGAACTTGTTATTTTATCTGAAAACAGATTCTAAGAAATCAAAAGACTAAAAAAGAACAAAGGATTACTCATTACAAAAGGCAAGTTAGAATGCTGTGGTGGTTTAACATGGCTGGGCAGCTAAGCACCATCATGGTGCTCTCTCACTCTCTCTCCTCAACAGAACAGGGGAAAAAATGATTAAACGAAAGCTTGTGGGTTGAGACAAGGACAGGGAGCTCACTCACCAATTACTGTCATGGGCAAAACAGTCTCAGCATAAGGGAGATTAATGTAATTTATTACCTATTGATAAAAGACTAGAGCAGTGAGAACTCGAAGCCAACAAAAAAAAGTCTCATCTCAATCTGAATTTAGTGATATTTATAAAAGAATATTTACAAATGGTATAAAAGGCAACTAAACAGTGCTGGGTGTGCGGGGAGTCTACACTCCACCAACACGCACACACGAACATCAGTGGAGTAACGTCTCAGCTGTGACATTAGTTATTGCATCTCCTCTGTCTAAGCATGTTAGGAAGATGAAGAAAGTGGAGGTGTGAAACATGCTGAGCTGAGGCTGCAGGACTGAGCTCTCTGCTGCACCTCTTGTTCCCAGGCTTTCCCTGGCAATGCATCAGTGGCTCATCCATAAGTGGAGCTTGATTTGCACTCATCTCCAGGTTTCCTTCAAAAGTAAGTGGTGGCATAAGTGAAGGGGATGATCTGATCTCCAACAAGCCTCTAGCTAGGACTGGTATGGAAGAAAGGGCAACCTGAGCATATAGGAAAATACTAGGGATAGCTCTTTTCCCACCACAAAGACTCAACATCAGCAATGACCACAGCAATGTTACAGAGGTTTTAAACAAATAATTGCCTGGAAGCACCCTTAACAACTTGCCTAATCCTTTCAAATAATTTGATTTTTTTTTTTTTTTGTCACTTACAATTAGTAAGTGACAGGAAGTAGGTATTTCTAATACCTTCCAAAGCCTATAGTAACATTTTTTCTGAGACAGATATACCCCAAAGAAAGCAGTCCATGGCCTGGTGACTGAAGCAGCAACCTGGGATATAGGAAACTGCTCTTTAAAATAACATAAATGAGGTCTGATCATTCGTTTCCAAAGGGGATTCCAATGCTTGTCCTGCACTTACTCAAAGACAAGGAATTCTCTTGCAGCATTTGTTATCTTACACCAAGCAAAGAGGCAGGAGAAGCCTTCAGGAATCTATACAACACAAACCCCAGGTTATGCTCTGAGAACAGCGAAGATCATTTATTTCACGTTAGAACTGAGTTCTCTCCCTGCTCACCATGTACCTGTCAGGAGCACAAACACAGCCACGAGATGAACTTCCCGAAAATAGAACCAAAGACATAAAAATCATCTAAATTACAGAAAGTGACTTTCAGCGAACAAAAACACCTGCCTTTCAGCAAACACAAGAGCTGTATGTGTGGATTTGACACATTGCAATACAAGGGAGGAGTATCTCATCTAACTGTTTACTGTCATTCCCTCAACGCTCTGCTTAAACCAGGAGAGCATTTCAAAAGCTGTGTTAACATACTAATAGACAGGGTTAGTCACACAAAATGGCTCCAGCCTGTGACAGGCAGATTAAATGAGAGAGCATTCAATTGACCCACTCCAGTTTTGTGGTGGCAGGGAGTGCTGGCTGGCTGTCCCTGCCATGGGGGCGGCAGGGCCCTGAAGGGCTGCATCACAGGCTGGGGGAAACACTGATGGGAACAAGACAGGTCTGAAGCAAACCACAAACAACATCATGCTCTCATCATCCCTTGAGAAACTTCTGCCCCAAAGTGACTGACCCTGCCCAAGTCCCAGGACTCCACATCAACCCTCGGGCCTTCAGCCCCTGCCCCACTGAGGCCACCAGCAGGGCCAGGTTCCAGCTCCCCACTGCCCGGCGGTGCCAGCCATGGGCCCTACTGAGCCATGGCCCTATGGCCATCTCCAGGGCTGTGTCTGACTCCAGTTTGCCTCTGCAGGGTCTCATCGAGACCCACTTCACCCTGACACCTGCACTGCCTTGCCACTTTAACACATTTGATGTGTAGAAATGCTTTTGTTTTGTGTTGCAAAGTGCCAAATCCTAATGTGACCCCAAACCACACACCATCAATTTCTGTGTTGCTTTCCCTACCCTTTTTTTGCACTCTAAAATTCTATTAGGAACAAACAAACAAGCAAACACAAATTATTTCTTAATGTCTGTAGTCATCTTGGTCTATGTTACCTGAAAAAAGTCACTCGTGCACATCTCTTACTGAATAGAAAAATAACAGTATTCTAGTTTTTAAAACGCTTACAAACTGTTTCTAAGCATGAAAATAAATGAACTGCATGCTATCAGATGCTCTAACATCTTTTCATCTGTGGGAACCAAATGTGGTGACGCTAGATCTTTTGTAGGTTCAGATTTTGTACTTCCTTACTGCTTGCAGCATGCTGCACCAGTCTCTCTAACAGCTGGTTGATAACTGAATATCTCAATGTTATCAAAATTATCAAATTAATAGGTCATTCAAGAAACAGGAAAAAACATTTCAAAAGGCTGATAAATCTGATAAAAATGTGAGTTTTGAATGGTATGACAGCTGCCTGACCTCATGGAACCCTATACCTGGTCCTTTATGTTAAGCTTATACACCAGTTCCCAATCTCTGTAAAAAAATCAGCTGTTAAAGTAGAAAAAGATGATGAAATGCAATGCTTAAAATGAAGCCGAAAGATTCATACAGCTATATATATTAGCACTTTAGTATTTATTTCCTTACATGTCTTGTAATGTAAATGTACTTCTACATTGTACCACTACTGTTATTCTAGTATTTAACTGCTGCATTAATCATAAATGTGGGCCCTCCAGATGTCCTCAGAGAAAGCTGAAATGTAATAGGAGACAACTGGCCTAATGTTTCTGCCAACCAATGCCAAATCTTTCTCTGGTGTAAATCTAAGTAAATTAAACACTGTCAATTTAACCCACCTGGAAATGTGTTTTTGTAACTGCTTCTCCCTTAAACAGTCCACCCAACATTTCAGCATTTGCCACAGCTGAAAAGGGGCTTGGTGTTTTGCATCAGTTTGTAACAAGCCTGTTGCTTTTGAGGGCATTCATCAGTAGAGAAAAATTTATATATGTATGATATGGCTGTAGTATATAAACATACATTTTTCTTTTCAATAAATATTTTGATATGGGATCTATATTGCCCTTACCACAGTCATATATCTAAATTACATTTGCTTTGCTCATGTACTTCCTGAGCAGTTTAATAACATGGGAAATAGTATTTATGAGAACTGCAGAGGTTTACTGGTCTTGTTACAAGTCCTTAATAATACCTGCCTAAAAAGAAAAGTATAAAACCTTCAGAGGCACTATGTCTTGAAATATACATGTTGCAGGAAAAGACAATTTTTTTCTTAATATCAGCACAGAAGAGTGAGGGTTCAGAAACATTATTTTATACCATATCACACAATTATTATTTATGTAACCATCCATTTTCTAAACCCTGCTGTATTCTTTACATGGATATTGCTCATCATCATCTAAACACAACCTTACAAGTGTGTTTTTTCCTTTTGCCTACTTTTTATTTATTTTCATTTTAATCCAATTCAGTCATTTCAATTCTTTCAGTGGAGAAAAACAAATGGGTCCTGATAGTTACCTGTCCTGTTCTTTTTGCTCTGCAGGTAGTCCTGCTGCTGCACACCCAGGACTCCAGTGAGACATGTGAGCCTTGCACAGGAGAGAAGGGCTGTCCTCTCCCACCAGCATTGCTCCTGATGAAGGGCTGCCTTTTCTCAGCTGTGCGTTTCCTTATGCTCCTTGGTTTTCCTCTACTGTCCAGTCATGATATAAGTGAGACTCACACTTATTTCAAGAGTCAGATCTGCAGATAGTTCTGACTTTCTTTTTGTATGTGTGTGCCTTAGGGGTTAGCATGTAGGGACCTCTAATTTGGATATTTGTAATTGCTTTTACCTGGGCTTTATCTTTTTACAGTTGTAATCATCTTTTGTTCAAACTATTACAATAATAGCTAGGATGAGGACATATATCTAATCTATATAGTGCAATAACAGATTCTTAATACAATTTCATATGCTACTTGTTTTTTGATTGATGTTGCATCTTGAGTAGATGTCATCATTCAACTGCCTTTGGAGATACAGACAATAGCTTTTATACTTGCCTCTATAAATTCAGAATCCATTTCATGCAGTTTAATATTCTTCCTTTAAAATAGAATATACTCAGATGGTTTGTCCTATTACATCTGCTATTAACACAGTATTTCTGGAGTGCTTCAAAGTTGTCTCTGGCTGTACATATGTGAAGTATTATTCTTTGTTCAGATTTTCCACTAACTGTTCTCCTTGAAATGTTCTGATCTTAATTCCTGGAATACTCAGATTCTGATTAATTATTAGAGTATTTGTGCTGGCAGCTGGACTGCGTCAGACACAGATTCCCTTCCCTCCATCACAATACCTGTTTAATTTAGAGGTTTACCATGTTTACCAGCTCCTGCTCACACATTTTTTTATTTTTTTTTAGTAATGAGCTGGGAATAACAACTGTTTGGACTGAATATAAGCTCAGCCCTGCCTACAGAGCTTTGCAAATACATGTACATGATTTCTGTGGGAGTTGGGTACTTATTCTTTTTTAATCTGCAATGGTCTTCTATGCAAAGGTATAAAAATACCTTTGTAAATCTGATCAGTGCTGTGTCGCCAGCAATTAAAGACCTGTGGTCTGATAGGGGCAATGGAAACCATGGAAATGCAGTTCCTTTCAGAACCGACCAGGCTTCCAGAGATGAGGTGAAATAGACCCATACTCCTGATGTGTCCCTTTTCATTGATTTATCTGGCAGTTTGTCCTGAAACAACATTTGAACCTCTTATCTTTTTCCAACCACATTTAATTCAGGGGTAAACGTCTGAAATATATTAAATTTCTACAAATTTTTGTGAGGAGAAGTGTGCGTGAGGGAAAGGCTGTTCCCTGGCCTGTCAGCAGCCTGCCCAGCGTAGGTCCTGCTGGCCAGGGGAGGGGGCAATGCAGGAGGCATGGGTATTAAAAATGTGGAAAATAATTAGGGTACCACTGTGCTTGCAGTGGATACAGGAAGAAACTGAAAATGTCAGAGTATTGGGGTAGGGTGTCATTGGGAATAGAAAGAGAGAGGCTGGTTGTTTAGGGAATATGTGGATGTTACAGTCATGCAGGGAATGAGTATAGGGGACATTAGATATATATGTGTATGAAAACCCCTAGTTCCACTGCTCACGGAAAAACTTGCTTATTGGGATTATGGGCAGCGAAACCTCTGGCAGTGGCTGGGCAGACCACCTGAGGTGCAGCCTTTGCATGACAAGTGGGCTGGCTTCTTGTCAAAGGAGCTACACATTTGGAGTGCTGAGGCCACATCGCTTGCTTTCTGCAGAGCTGTGGTGTAAGGGGATGGTCAAAGAAGACTGGTGTTGACAACACAGCCACTGTTTTTAAGTGGCTTATGGAGCTTGAATGACTAGTGAACAATATGCTCCCTCACATGCAGCACATTCATTCTAAGTCTGTAAGTTTTGTCTGGGGAATGATGTAAGGGTGTTTCTATGATTTGTTGGTTGCACAGCACTAATCCTGAAATGCTCGCAGAGACCAATGTTTCAAAAAGATAATCAACAGCTTGACACATTGAGGGAAAATAGTTCCTGAAAAATCTTTTTATCATAAAAAAGGAATTCTGTGTCTCAGTACTTTTAACCAACAAGATTAAATATCCAATATAATCTCACTTAGAATTGGATTTTATATACAAATTTAAATTAAAATTGAGCTCATATTTATAGAAAAATGGTTTATGCTCATGTATGACTTTGTTTTAATGGATTGCAACTTTTAGAACAGAAATGCATGGGATAGGGGGAATAACAACCCAAATCCTCCAAGGTATTGTCAAGATACATTTTTATTTTTCAGAGTAAGTTCTTCCAGATAATATTTCAAGTAGTTTAATCTGTTTCACTAGCTCTTGGAACACATTTATTTCATAAGAAGTAACTGTAAAAGAAAAGGGTGGAGTTTTGTGCTGGAGGCTTGGTAAATCAAGATTTGCATTTATTTCATTTTATTATTATTATATTTTTCCCTACTAGTCAGTTGTGCAAATTCACTTAGAGATCTGAAAGCTAAATCTTTTCTCGCTCATGACTCATGACCCAGGATGAAAATATTGCAGATGCAGGTTACTGTCATTCACACTCGGTGAGACTAACACAAAATGAGTGCAGAATTGACTGAGAAGCAGTATTCAAGCCACAGTATGTATAGAGTGATGGTTAAGTATCAAAGTGGAAGAAGGTATCTATTGGGTTCTGCAAGACCTGCATGGGGTCAGTATTTTTGTTAATTACTGGGGTGGTGGAGTAGATGTCGAAGGACTAGCATTCAAAATGAAATGGCTATGGGAAAGAGATCCTGAAAAAAATCAGGAGGCAATTCAACAACAATACACGTAAATGGTGCATAGAAATAATGACCAGCATAGACTGGAAGCATTAAAGCTTAAGTAACAGTTTTGCAGAAAATAATTTGGCATTAATAGCATGTGAAAAGCTGAAAATGAATCAACAGTGCTTTAAGGTAGCAAGCACCTGCCTAGAACCTAAATGCACAGGAGACTCTTATGTAAGATGAGGAAAATAATCATGCTGCTCTGCGTGCTATATTAGCACATTTTCTGTGTCATTGTGTCTGATTTTGGGCACCATGCTTCAAAAAAAGTGGATTAACCAATGTGGAGCAAGTAGATTAATGATTAAGAACACATTTTTATCATTAATTTTAATGGACACCATATGGCTCTGAATTCATATTGATTAAAAAGGTGGGTTTTGTTTTGTTCTGGTTTTGTTTTCCAAAATCCTTTTTTTTGACAGTGAGTCCACTTTCAAGTGCAATGTTAAGGAGAGGGAAAACCCATGGTATATTTGAGTAGCAGAATGCTTTGTTGAACTGAGGTAAAGATGAATGGAAAGAAAAAAATGAAGGGTAGAAGACCTGGCAGGTATTGCCTGAGGGAAGAAAACTGAAGGAAAAAACGAACACATGAGCAGCCAGGACAGAGCTAAACCTGCCCTTGCAGAACTGCGGACAGTTCCAGGGAAAAATGTGAAACTTGTTAGTTTTCCAGGCAAGGAACCGAGTAACTACCAAACAGTTCTTAGAGATAATAATCAAGATACTTTCAGCTGAGATTCAGTATGTCAGGTTGATGGTTGGAGTTGTTGATCTTGAAAGTCTTTTCCAACCTGGATGACTCTATGTTCCTTGTAATTAGACTGTTATTTTCAGACCAAATAATGGTCGCTGGGTAAAAAGCTCGTGCACAATACAGCAAGGCATGAGCAGAGTTAACATTTATACAGCTGGTAGTAAAAGCAAAACAAAAGGCTAGTCAACATTTCTCTGGATTATTTGTAAAGTGAAAATACTTCTTGTGAAAAATGCTAGATAAAGAGCCCAGTAGCAAAGTCTCCATTGATTTCAGTGGAGCTGAATCAGTTTCTGAGCTGAGGATGCAACCAAACCCAATGCACAGAGCAAGACGAGATCTTCTGTGCTGCCTGCCAGAGGGGTAATACCCTGCCTAGAAGTTTAGGGCTGACAGAGACTGACTGACCTTTTCAGTCCTTGCCATCTCTAATAAGACCGCCAACAATAAGGATATCTAGGGATCAAAATACCCATCTGCTTTGTATTAGGCTGAGAAAAACAGCTGCCTAGATGCTATTTACAAAGAAATGTGTTTAACCTAGAGCTAAACATTTTCCCAAATGCAATAGCTACAGAGGAAGGGTTGTCATTTCCTTTTCAAAGAGAAAGGTGGTCAGTTTTTCATGGAGAAAGGTACTTTGAGTGCTATGTGCAGAAGCAGGATTACCTGGCTGCATAACAGGTGAGATGGGCAGGAGCTATCTGGACCTGCTTTGAACAGGGGTTTGGGCTGGATGGCATCCAGAGGCCCCTTCCAACCTAAATTATCCAGTGAATAATTCTGAACTGGTGCTTCTGGAGAGCATTATCTCTGTTTACTCTGGCCCCATGCACAGGATGCAGACGATATGACACCCGGGGGCTAGCAGCCAGCAATCGCCTCTGCTGCAGCAACTTGGTCTGTAATGGCCCCAGAGTGTCTCCTGCCCACCGCATGGACCTGAGCACTAGGAACCCAGCCTTTTTAACTCCAACAGGCGTAGCACAGTGCCCACTCTTCAGATCACCAGTTTATTTCCAGCATTTAGAACAGATGGAACAATGCAACTTGAAAGTTGATTTGAACTGTGACTATTCACTAGTAAGAGCAAACCTCTTTGGTGAGCTGGAGAAATTAAACTCTGACACGAACGTCAAATTAACAAAACGGAGAGGATTTTAGCAGCTCCAAGCATGTACATTTTAAGGTTATTTAAGGTTATTTTCATTTTTCTTCATGTACATCCTTTCCTTCTAAAGGTAATAAAGTGCAAGGTTAAGTTGTCTCAGATAAGACCACAAACAGAAAGGACTGGTAGCATTCCATTGCTTTGAAAGGCAGAATAGCTTTGAAAGGTATTTCCCCAAGATAAAGTTTGAAATCCAGGGTACCTTGCCTCTCTCTAGTAGCTTCTGCATGGACACCTAATAGGAAATCCGTTTGGAATCCAGAAACTGGCACACTTGCTTGGAAAGGAAGCCCAATAATTCTTCTTTTAATCAACCCTTCCCTTTTTAAAATGCTAGGAAACTGAGGAAAAGGATATTTCATTTTAAACAAATCTCACTTGCCTCAAAATCTTAGTGAATGTATATTCTTCTGTGCTATTGTAAATAATTTTGAATCATGAAAACTGTAGGAAATGTTAGAGCAGAACTAAGAAAAACAAAATATAAATTAGTGTTTCTATTCCGTAATATTGTTCTTATATTTCTTTAAGCTTTCAAATGTCTGCAGTGACTAGGTTTTTCTCTGGTGTCACATGAAACAGTTCTATAAACACGGGGTATTTCAAAAAGCTTCTGTCTCCCTGGACCTGAAGAGTCATTCCCTGTGTTTACGCTGTGCGTCTGTTGAATCTGATAAAGAATAGGGCTGTGTTGTTCCACCTTGATGGGCAATGGCTTTAATTTTCCTAGTGAAATATGATCTTTTAGGCAGTAAGCACAGAGTATTGTATAGGCATTGTTGCCAAGAGATGCTTAGAAAATAGGGAAGAGGGAAGGAGTTGTATTCTTATTTCCTGGATTAAGCAAAACACTACCATGAAGGCTCTCAAACAGACAGATTGCTCTGGTATATTTAGCAGTATTTTCTGCCCAGTGGAAAGACAACACTTGGTGATTCTCCACAGCTTGTACACAGAATTTTACAAAATAATTTTACTACTTCTTGAAGGAGTCCAAGGAATTACAGCACTAGCCAATTTTTAGTAAACTAAGTCAAAATAAGAAAAGATGTAAGCTGAGCTGCTGTTCCACAAGTGGAGGCATTGGCACGGCACAGCAAACAGCTCCCCTTCCGCAACCATAGGAGAGGAGTCATCCAAACAACTTAACACCCTCCACCTCTAGAGGAAATGTATTCAAATGCAATGTTAATCAGAAAGCTTCTCCCCCAACCTGACCTCTTTCTCTTGATTAATTCAGTCTGAGAAACGTAGCCAGTTTGTTTTTCCTGCCCAGCCCAACCTCCTATTTCCTATTCAATTTCTAAATGTGTCAAATATAATTAAAACTGGCAGAGGCCAAGATTAAATCAAGCAAACTGTAAACATTGCTTGTGCTGTTGGGTAGATGCAAAGCATTCACCATAAAAGGCTTTTAAATAAATGAATTCAGCTATTACTGCATGGCAGCACTGAAACCTTGCTCTGAGTGCCTGAACTTTTCAGGGACACTGTCAGGGCAGCTTAGATTCAAGACCTAAAACATGGCTGGGGTTCTCAAATTGCCTTAGGGAATTGGCTACCTAACTTCCACTGAAAGTCAAAGTGTGGCAGGAGGTGAATTGACTTTCAGCAGGAACTAGATGCCTTTGAAAAGCCTATTCATATCCTTGTAAACACAGGACTGTGCCCTTTGCAGAGATAAATGAGTGTAACTCTGTCAGCGCCTACCTACCCACACAGCAAAGCAATCAATGAACAAATTTTACAAAACCTAAGACTGTCCAAAAAAAACCTGAGAGCTACCTTTACTTAAACTATTAGATCATATTTTCTTTAGCATTAAATATTTCCTTTTATCGTGCAATAATGATAATTTACAATACTAATATTATTACAGTGTGGCATAACTATAAACCCAACTTTCAAAAAAAGTTAATTTATTAAGCAGTATCAGTTTAAATCTTCTAGCCTGCAACTTGCTATTTAATCCAGTGGCATTAGAGGTACTCCTGACCTTTTAATTGCAAATTCAGAGCCTCAGTACATCCAAGATCTCACAGAAACATTTTTGCATTAAAAAAATAAAGTCCACATCTCATTAGCCATAAGGCAAATTCGTATCAGGCAATGAGGAAACACGGTAATTTTGAAAGGTTTCTGTCTTGCCAGCTGATATTTTAGTTCTAAGCAATACAGAGTTAAGATTTAAATTAGACAGCTTTGAAAATAGATCCATGGCTACTTGACATTATTTCCTTTAGTTCCTCATTTCCTCATTTAATTCCTCACTGCTTTCATTTGCTAGAAATGTGATGTTTCCTGTATATTTGTTGTATTTTATCTTTTACACAGGATGGGCATTTGGCACTCTTGTAACAAATTTTGCCTTTTTTTGGCACATGTATGCTTACATCTCCACATATTCAATGTCTTTAAAATCCTGATGCTACATTATGAAATGAGCTTTTGAGGATTTCTGTCCAATACCTTTAGAAAAACAACTGTAGGAGTACCATTGGACCAGAGTCAAAATTTTCCCTTTTCAACCTTGAGGTCTTCTTTTTAAATCCCTAATATTCTCCCAGAATTCCTCTGGCCACCCAAGGAAAGCATTCTGCATGGCTTCTTAAAGACAAAGTCAGAGGTGTTTCGGGGACAGCATGACTTCATGATAGAAGATGGCACGGTCACAGAATGTACCAGCCCTTCAGCTCTGGAACGGCAATTCACATCTGAACAGAGGTGATTAGCCAAAATTAGTGCACTTATTCCCTCTTTATCTTCAGTGGACATGAAACCAGACCACAAAACAACTGTAGACTGTCTTGCAACTGGCAGGCTCTGGTCATGAGAAAGCCAGAGCTTGAGAGAACAGAAGGTTGGGGCTGATGAGGAAAGGCAGAGCTATTGCACACCAAAAATCTCACTCAGCCTTGACCAAGGTTAAGACTGCATTTTATTGCCTTGCTTTCATAACTATAGATGTTTTCAGATCTATTGAATTTAATAAAGATTCCTCTGTGGTGATGGGCAACCAGGGGTCGGTATCACAAGGCGTGGAAAGGAGCAGTATAAATACTCTTGGGAGTAATGGAAACCACCTCCTATTGATCCGCTGCTGGGATGTGTCATATTCGGACAGATAAATATCTCTGCAGAATTGACTGTGCAGATTGTAATGTTGTACCTATTTCCATCAGTGTATATGTATTCCTCTCTCCTTCAATTTTCTTTTTCACCTATTTGCTATGAATGTTGCCTCATGTTATTTTAGTTGTCTCACTGTGTACTGCTTAGACTTCCAGAACCAAATTTGAAAGCTAATTAGCTATGGAAGGATGAAGGTCAAAATCCTGTATGGAAGCCAGATCCTTCATTAATGATGACACAAAACGATAGAATAAATGGACTCAAGAAACTTACATGTTTTGGTTGTTTGTCTAAGAGGTTAATTGGGGCATTGCCTTGATCATTAGGGAAAGGGATAAACTTCTATCTACAGTGCTCAGCAAAATCTGACATTTGCACCTAAGAACTCATAACTAGCACAAATGGAGAAGTAAGCTGCACTTTTCAAGTCTGTGGCTGTTCTGACCAGGATGAGCTCTCTGCTTAAGCAACGGGTTGAGTCCTAAATTATTTCTGATAGTTGGCAGCACAAGGAATACTCCTGTAACAATGAAATCTTAGGGCACAGGCATTGCTGAATGAAATCAGAAAGAAGACTTCAGAGCAGAACTTTTTTGTTTTTATATGCAAGTCTTTTTATTCAGTAAGTTTGAGACAGAAGATTTTGGGAGAAAAAAAAAATGTAACAACATAATAGATCTTGGGTACTATAATATGTCTAAAACATCTCAGTGGAATTTTTTCCGATATGTAACACCTCCCCTCCCCTCAGTGACAAATCAGACTGCTCTTCTCACCAAAGCTAAGGTTTGTGAACTGATTTGGATTTCACATGAGCACTATTGTGGGGGGATACCATTAGGGATATTGCGCTGCTGTACAGGTGAGTTGATACTAGACTTTTGACTACTGACTACAGCTTGAAGCTCTTCTTGCAACTAAGGACAGCAGAATTTGACTTTTAATCAGGATATTTTAATTGTAACATGCCAGGAAGAGCTTGGAATTCTTTTCACTTGTTTAGTGCAGTTTTTTAATCTAATCTCTGGTTTTGCTTTATGATAGGAAAGGATTCCAAGAGGTATGTTTTTATTTTCAAATTCAAATATTGCTTAAAATGAGTATTAAAATGTTATCCTGTAGTATTAGGAACCTAAATAAAAGAGTTTCTGGGCAGAATGAACAAAAAGAATATGATATTATTTTGCAATACAAGTTAAACTGAAGAAGCTATCTGTGTTGTTCCATATGAGAGAAATTACGAACTACATAGGGGTGTTGCCTAAAACTGTAGTATTCTGAAAGGTTTTCTTACTAACAGAAGTGAGAAAACATTCAGTCCTGATGCATGTACTATTCTCTTTAGGGAGAATTGGCTCAGGTCCTTTGTGACCCATTCTGCTTATTTACACTCTCATATAGTGTTCAGCTTTAATGCACTAAGAAGAAACTGGAATTCATCCCAGATTTCCTTAAATTCTTGCTAGAGTTTATGTTAATTTCATCCCTTTTTTCTACAGTTATCTAACAGAAAGCATGATTTCACTGTCGTTAAAGATCACCTAGTCTCCTGTTTTCATTTTCTTCATGCTGTTATTATGCTTCTCATTGAAGTCTCCTTTCTAGTCATAATGAACACTCAGAGCATTTCATTGAGAAAAATGAGGAGTTAAACATTTTTTATTTCCCTAATCAAGACCCTGTCTTTATCATTAATGAATGCCAGAAAACAGGTGAAGAATTACATTAGAGGTAAAAAGGACATTGCCAAAGTGATTTTGTGATCACAGTCACTTATAATAATGCACTGAATGTTGGCATGGCAATCTAATTGCAGAATAAAGCCTGCTCTGTAAACCCGGTTACTAGTTGCATTACATAATGTTGATGTTGAACTGCTTCAGTCACAGTTGAGCATAATATGGACAGAAATTTCTAAAAGTCTATGGTTGTTATTGTGGAATAATTCATACAACTTGTCAGGATGGCGATTTTTACAATTTGATAGTTTTGAAACAGAAAACAACAGTGATTCAATTCTAGAAGGAAAATTAGCCTAGAAAAAAAAAAATCATGTTTTGCAAATAGAAGAAAAAAATGTAAGTTAATTTTTTATTCTATCTCTTTTGACGGTATCCTTTTAAAGGGAAGACTAAATCAAATTCTAAATGTCAAATTCTCCTCTCATTCACATCACAATAGCTCCAGAGTTCCTCTACTGACTGTCAGAGAATCACTCCAGATCTATACATTTTTAGTGCAGCAGAACCTGGCTTTTCAAGCCTAGATGTTTCACAACATCGAGCCTAGATGTTTCACAAGAATACATGTTAAGGAGTGATATTTAAAAGGAAATAGTTTGCTTTTCTATTCCATTAAATTAAATCTGTAGAAGGACAGAGCATGGTTTATGATTCCTCTTTTGGTTTCAGATAAGACACCTTCAGAAAACAGTTATGAAAAGTGTAAGACGGAAAGCTCAAAACAATCATTGAATTAAGTATGTGTCCAGAAGACACTCTTGATTTCTTCCAATACCACAGATTTTTTTATCCTGAAATCTGTATTTCACATAAACGGAGAAGTACAGGGCATGGAAAATTGATCTGAAGGCTAAACAGAATTTCTCCTGCAGTAGTCTGTTTGAGGAATGGAAAGAAGAGGAAGAAGGGGAAGAAGGAAGGCCGAGACTGGTGCAATTCAAAGAGCCAAGATATTAAGTGGCAGCCCAAAAAATGTGTGTGAGAGGTCTTCCAACAGAAGGTATGCTTGTCATGTGCAGCCCACCCTCTGGTGACACTCTCCCTTGCTACTTCCATTTGATGCCTGTTGTTGCCATATGTGCTGAAATGCTTCACACTGTGTCACTGGCATTTCTGTTACTGTTTTACCTGTCCACGCTTGTCTCTGCCAGTCTGTTATTCATAATTGCTAGGGCTCCAACCCCACCAGAGAATCCATTTTGCTTTGAATTAGTGCTCATTTGCCTCGGGTAGCCATTGGCAGTTTCCGACAGCTGTTTCTGCATGATGGCCAGTGACACTTTATTGGAGGCCAGGAAGTCTTTCATGGAGATCATCTCTCCTGACAGCCGGCGCCCATCTGTGTCGCTCTCGTTGACAATGTCAGTCTCGATGGAGATGTTTCTCCGGCTGCGCATGTTCCCCGGCATTACCACATTCCTCCGTGACCGAAATAATTTTCTTTGGCATCTATGGCAGCACCTGCAGTCCAGCTTCTTTAGTATCCAGTTTATGGATTGTTTGATGACAATAGAGATCACGTTAAATAAGGAGTAGATGCAGCAAACCCCCATGAGTATGAAGACAAAATTGCCAAAGCGGTAAAGGCCCTGGCTCTCATACTGGGTGTTCTGGCTGCTGACCAGATCACCAAAACCAATGGTGCTGAAGGCCACGAAGCAGAAGTAAAGTGAATCAAAGTAACTCCACCCTTCAATTGGTGTGTACATTGCAGAGGCACAGCAGGAGATGATGAGTGATGCTACACACAAAATCAACATGACGTAGTACACCGAGGGCTTCCAGCCCGCCAGGCTGTCTGCCTCCGAGGTCCCCGAGCCTCGCCGGCCATCATGAGGGAGGACGCCCTTCCTCCTCAGCTGCCTCTCGTGGCAGGACTTCATGACATAGGCTATGACGGTGATCAGGCGCTCCAGGAACAGGTTAAAGAACAAGATGGTCCCTGCACATCCTATAAGGCCATAAAATATCAGAAAAACTTTGCCTCCGACAGTGGCTGGGGTGGTCATGCCAAACCCTGGAAGACAAAACAGAAGGGTTTTAAAAAAATAAACCTTTAGTTATCACATCAGAAGCTTTGTCACAGGCTAGACAGAGGAACTGGCAGCAAATCCCTGTGACACAGCTCAGCTTGAGAGGAGATAAAGGACTTTCTTCCAAACTGTTACCTGCTTGAGGCTCACCTCTTCCCTGCAGCAAGGGGAAGGAAGTTCATGCATTTCCTCCAGAAACAGAATGAAACAAGCAAGAGAAAACACAAAGGAAAGAAAACAGAGGTTCTTGACGGTCTGGATTTTCATCTGATTGGTAGGTTCAGTCTGTTCCCCATTGCACCCTGGTTCATTTCTAGCCTTGGGGTTATCATACTCGCTCCTTCTTTCTGATGCTGTTCTGCACAGGGGATCCAATCCAAGGATGACTCTCACCTCACAGGCACAGGGGTCTGTCCCCACCAGAGCCGTACAACCCAAGACAAAGCCTTTCTGTGCCTCACCGAGCTAACTGTGGGCACAGATGGGACATGGGCACCCAGCATCACGTCCAACCCCGGTGTTGACTGCTTATTATCGGCCTCTTTTAAGTCAGCACTGATGAAGCTTTCTTATTTGTCCATGTCCTTCTCCGCAGCTAAAATCTGTATTTGGGACCTAACAAATATCTCCTCTGGTCTCATTCCCTGTCAAGGGATTTCTCAGGTCAGAGGTTTCCCTTATCTCCCTCTTTTCCCACAGCTTGCAAATAACAATTTTGATTTGGTTAAAACTGCCGTTAAGACCTATTTGTTTTACCAAGAGGTTGCTGAAGAATAAAAAGTGAACAAGCATGTCCAGAACAGCACCAAGCAAATTAGAGTAATATGCATGATAAATAAGTTTGCTGCTGTTTTATTAGGGTCTGGAGAAGATTAATAAAGGATGAAATAACTCATCAATTAAGCCAATCCTGGTAGAAAACAGCAAAATCATGTCGGACAAGAGACAGAGTTATTTGTTTCCTTCACTTTGCAGTTGTGAGATGCTAATTATAAAATAAAGAAATTAGGCTCTGGGAAATAAAGGAAATTGTATTTGAAGCGTGACACATTTGTGCTTGGAAGATAGACAACTACAGTGTGAAGAGACTGTGTTTCCCAAAGCTCCGAACTGCAGTCCTCCTCCCACCACTGGAGACCTGCTACCAGCACAGATCCCTCTCGGACGCTGCTTCTGCTCCCGCATGTTTAAGTGACAGCCCCTGTCCTCACCCCTCTGCATGACTCCTACCCTGCAGAGTAGTGTCCCTCTGAGACACACACTCCAAACCCCAGCTTCCAGGGGACCTGGAGGAGGCTCCAGCCTCCTTGTCAAATTTCTCTGCTGGAGGGAGCTGGGCTGCTGCTCTCTGTAGTAGGAAACAGGGCAATAGAGAAATCAAACTGACAAAATGTTGTTCATGACAGCTTTTTGCCATTGTTCCCCCTGGCACACAAATGTTTCCATCCACCTGCTTTCCCCTCCTTCTCCTTGAACCGATCCGCCTCTAATCCTAGC